CCCAAGTATTTGGATCATCTTCCACTGCTTTTCTCAGGCCATCAGAAGGAAGCTAGATCAAAAGCAGAACAGCCAGAACATGAACCAGTGCTCATATGGGGTGCTTGTATTGCAGACAGCATGTTTACTTGCTATGTGACAATGCTGGCCCTGTTTTATGGGAACTTCCAAATGAAATTTTGAAGTTGTATGCATTGTAGTTTGCATGTAATTCAACTTTCTGCCATACTTACTGATATATATCAGCATTTGATGCAGGACAAATCAGAAAACACAATGGCTTAACAAATAGCCATTTGATTTGCAGTTCTGACTGTGTTATGGGCTGTACTCAGCTGGGCAGTTCCTATGATCAGTCCAGGAGCAGAAATGAGAGTTTAGCCATTTGGGGAACTGATTGAGGCTTCACTTAAGTGTCTGGGGTTTGTGGTGAAACTTAGCTACATATTATCTCTGTTTTTCTTTTTTTGATAGAGTTAGTGAGAGAGAGAGAGACAGAGAGAAATGTCTTCCTTCCATTGGTTCACCCCCCAATGGTCAGCATGCTGTGCTGATCCAAAGCTAGGAGACAAGCACTTCCTCCTGGTCTCCCATGTGGGTGCAGGGCCCAAGAACTTGGGCCATCCTCCACTGCCTTCCCAGGCCACAGCCGAGAGCTGGACTGGAATAGGAGCAACTGGGTCAGAACCGGCACCCCAACTGGGACTGTCACCTGGAATACCAGTGCCGCAGGTGGAGGATTAGCCTAGTGAGCCATGGCGCCAGCCTACATACTATCTCTTCAACAGGCAGGCCCCAGGGTTGTTCAGAAGATAACTGTCAGAAAAAGAAAATCTGAGAAGGCAAATACTTCACAAATTGTCTATTTCTGGGGCTGGTTCTATGACACAGCAGGTAAAGACACCGCCTGCAGTGCCAGCATCTCATATGGGTGTCAGTTCATGACTCAGCTGCTCCACCTCTGATCCAGCTCTTTGCTACAGCCTGGGAAAACAGTAGAAGATGGCCCAAGTCCTTTGGCCCCTGCTCCCTTGTGGGAGACCTGAAAGAAGCTCCTGGTTCATATCTTTGGATCTACACAGCTCCAGCCATTGCAGCCATCTGGGGAGTGAACCTGCAGTTCGAAGACCTCTCTTTCTCTCTCTCTCTCTCTCTCTCTTTTCTCTGCCTCTCCTTCTCTCTTTGTGCAACTCTTTCATATAAATAAATATTTTTAACAAATTGTCTATTTCTATCACATTTACTGGTATCTCATGGGGTAAATCAAGTGAAATGGTGAAATTCAGGGTCTTTTTTTAAAAAGATTTATTTATTTATTTGAAAGAGTTACACACAGAGAGAGGAAGAGGCAGAGAGAGATACAGAGCTCTTCCATCTGCTGGTTCACTCCCCACTTGGCTGCAATGGCCAGAGTTGTGCCAATCTGAAGCCAGGATCCAGGAGCTTCTTCTGGGTCTTACACATGGGTACAGGGGCCCAAGGACTTGGGCCATCTTCTACTGCTTTCCCAGGCCATAGCAGAAAGCTGGATCAGAAGTGGGGCAGCTGCGAATCAAACCAGTGCCTATATGGGATGCCAGTCTGCAGGTGGCAGTTTTACCCGCTAGGCCACAGTGCCAGCCCCAATCCAGGGTTTTGTGAAGGGATGAATACAGGGAAAGGTGCTACTTGGAATCATTACTGGTAAAGTGCACTGCATTAAATATACATTATGTGTATTTGTTAACTTTCTTTAGTATAAACTTTAATAACAACATGTTTATCTCTGATAACCTTATTCATTTGAACACTCAACTTTTCTTTTTACTTTCACATTATTATTTTATAAAATTTGTAGATAATGCTTTCGTTAAACCAATGATAACTTCTGTTTAATCTCTGCCACTTAATATAGGTGGGTGCATTTTCCTATGTATTTTTATTTTTACAGGTTTATTCCTCCACAGTGAGGCTGATGTTTTCTTGGTTAATGTATTTATTATTATTTATTCATTATATTATATCCTTTTTTTCCCACTGTTCAGTGCAGAAGGAAACCAGAGTTTTTTTTTTTTTTTTTAAGATTTCATTTATTTATTGAAAGAGTTGCAGAGAAAGTCTTCTATCTGCTGGCTCACCCTCCAAATTACTGCAAAGGCCAGAGCTCAGCCGATCCAAAGCCAAGACCCAAGAGCTTCTGGGTCTCCCATGCAGGTGCAGTGGCCCAAGGACTTGGACCATGTTCCACTGCTTTCTCAGGACATAGCAGAAAGCTAGATTGTATGTTGAGCAGGCAGGACTCGAACCAGAACCCATATGGAATGCTGGCACTGAAGGCAGCAGCTTTACCCATTATGCCACAGTGTTGGCCTCCCGAGTTTTCTTTGAACTCCTGCCATTCACCTTCTCTCCCAGGTATGATTCTGGGTCCTCCACATGTTTCTAAAAGGAAAGAAAATTAATATATCACCTGTAAGTTTTTTTTTTTAATTATTCCCCAGCTTGTCAGTACTCATTTTAGGTGTTTAATGCTAGTTTATTTATTTATTTTTTTAGATTTTTTATTTATTTGAACATCAGAGTTACAGAGAGGCAGAGGGGGAGAGGGAGAGAGGGTCTTCCATCTGCTGGTTCACTCCCCAGTTTGCCACAATGGCCGGAGTTGCACTGGTCCAAAGCTAGAAGTGAAGAGCTGCTTCTGGGTCTCCCACATGGGTTCAGGGGCCCAAGGACTTAGGCCATCTTCTACTGAATTCCCAGGCCATAGCAGAGAGCTGGATTGGAAGTGAAGCCACTGGGACTTGAACTGGCACCAATATGGGATGCCAGCACTGAAGGCAGTTGCTTTACCTGCTAGCCACAGTGCCAGTCCCAGTATACTAGTTAATTAAAATGGAAAATATGGGGCCGGCTCTGTGGCTCAGTGGGTTAATGCCCTGGTCTAAAGCATCGACTTCCCATATGGGCACCGGTTTGAGACCCGGCTGCTCCACTTCTGTTCCAGCTCTCTACTATGGCCTGGGAAAACAGTGGAAGATGGCCCAGGTCCTTGGGCCCCTGAACCCATGTGGGAGACCCAGAAGAAGCTCCTGGTTCCTGGCTTCAGATTGGAGCAGTTCCAGCCATTGCAGCCAATTGGGGACTGAACCAGCAGATGGAAGACCTCTCTCTCTGCCTCTCCTCTCTCTGTGTAACTCTGACTTTCAAATAAATAAATAAATCTTTAAAAAATTTTAAAGTAGAAAAATAAACATAAAATTTGTTATCACAGAATATACAGAAATGAATTATGAATTTGGCATGATTATGAAACATTACTGTCATCTATAATAATGCAGTTTGGTCTCTTGTCTTTCTGTTGCTATAGCAAAATATATATTTGTTACATGAATTGAGTTGAAACTAAGCACAATATGCTACATTTTTGGGGTCGTGTCTGAAACATTCTACACATAGATGATGTACTGAACAGTGTTTTAGTGCTACCTATGAAGTAAACACTTAGCATTCTGCAAGAGGAAGAGTTACCTAGTGCTAGAACACAAATCAGTTAAGTTTGTTTTCAAATTGTTAGAGTAATGGAGTTCTTAATACCTTTGAGAAGTTGAATTGGATTCTGGAATAGGATAAGGAATGTGTGGAGAAAAGAATCTACTGGAGGCTCATTTATTTTTTTTTAAGATTATTTATTTGAAAGGTGGACTTGCAGAGATTGGGAGAGACAGGGAGACAAAAGGATATATCTTCTATCTAGTGTTCATTCCCCAAATGCCCACAATGGCTGGGACTGGGCCAGACCAAAGCCAGGAGCGTGGGACTCCATGGGTCTCCCACATTGGTGGAAGGGTCCAAATACTCAGGCCATTTTCACTGCTCTTTCAATCAGATTAGCAGGGAACTAGATTGGAAGTGGAGCAGCAAGGAGTCAAGTCCTCTGTTTACATGGGATGCCAGCATTGATGGTGGAGGCTTAGCCTGCTGGATCACAATTCTGGTGACTATTGCAAGTTCTGAAACAAATCTCTAAGCATTTTTCTCAGTGAGTCACAAATGCAGATTGTACTGCAGACATTCCCAGGTTCTCTTTTTGGGCAAATAATTCCATTGCTTTCATTTAATTATGTATAATGTCATTTCAAATGTTTATCATTTGAATGTTTTGGGCAAGTATTTCCATTGCTTTCACTTTAATTAGGTATAATGTTATTTCAATTGTTTATCACTTAGAATAATCATAGACAAGGGCAAAAGCTAATTTGTATTCTTTGTCTTACCTGTATTTTCTCTCTTACTTAAAAATATTTATTAGCTTGATAGAGAAAAAAGTTGATGGACTGAGAGATAGAGAGCTTTGACACATTAATTCACTTCCTAGATAACCATACCAAACAGGTGGGGCAGGACTGAAGCCAGGATTGAGGAATGGAATCTAGGCCTCCTTCATTGGTGACATCACCATTGCTTCCCCAGGTTTGCATTATCTGGGAGCTAGAAACTACAGCTGGCATTGGAAGTCATGGACACTCTGAGGTGGCATCATAAACAACACTAAGCTAAATGTCTGCCCTGTCTTTTAATATATTTTTTCTCTGACATATTGGAAATGATATGCATGGTGTTTTCCTGGAAATTGTTTTCTGTTCATTCCCATCATAGTTTCACTGATGGTTTCTTGCCTTTTTTTCTCAATGCTTCTACATACTTCTCCTTAACATTGCCCAGTCAAGAGTCAGTATTGCCCCTCTTCTAGCCTGCTGTGCAATTCCCTTTGAATGATGTGGCATTTGTGATTTGAGCCTCCTGTTTCCCTCTAGGTTGGGCATTTCTCACAGCCTGTAGATCATGGGTTTGACTCTGTTGAATGCTCCGTGTGGCTTTCTAAACACTCCACAAGTCTAATGTGAAACCATATCCTTCCTTTTTCCTTCATATCCATACACAACTGTCAGTGTTTATTTTGTGATAGAGTTAACATGTTGACTGGAAGTGTATTATTATAGGTGATGACAGCATTTGAAGACCTGGCTGTGTACTTTACGTGGGAGGAATGGCAGAACATGAACAATGCTCAGAAGATCCTGTACAGAGATGTGATGCTGGAGACCTACAGCAACCTGTTCTCCTTGGGTGAGTGACACCCATCACATGCCCAGTGATAACATTTTCTTGCTATTTGACAAATAAGGGAACACTTTATAATGTTTAATATTGGGCAGGATTAGAATTTGAGTCCATGAATAATCTGAATATCTACCATCTAACAAAAGATTCAAATTGGAACATTTGTTGCATAGCTCCTGAACCAAGCTGTAGTCCTTTAAATAACCCAAGATAGTGAGTTTACAAAGTCTTACTTTGTTTCCATTAATAGGGCACTGCATTACCAAACCTGACTTGATCTTCAAGTTGGAGCGAGGAGAAGAGCCATGGATGATGGATGAATGCTTGAATCAGAGCCTTTCAGGTCAGTCTGCACATAAGAGACAGGGAGGCCAAGGCAGAGTGTGTAGATGTTGACTTTTTCTCAAGCCTTACTCCTGATGACAGCTGGTTTTGTGCATCAGACACAGGCATTTAGAGATACCAGTATCTTTCTAACTTTTGTTCTTAGTGAAGATGTCCTTTGATTAAAAAAAAAATCCAGTCATTTTCTGATGTTACTAAGGCTTTTGTCTAGGTTTGATACATTCCCCCAATTCTAACTTGTCCTTCTCTACACTTTCATACCTTTTCCTTCATGCACTTATTAGTTCCTTCAGTACTTGTTAATTAGGCAACATACAGAAACTTATTTTATTTTAACATTAATTTTTTTTTTGACAGGCAGAGTGGACAGTGAGAGAGAGAGAGACAGAGAGAAAGGTCTTCCTTTTGCCATTGGTTCACCCTCCAATGGCCACCGTGGCCGGTGTGCTGTGGCTGGCACACCGTGCTGATCCAAAGCCAGGAGCCAGGTGCTTCTCCTGGTCTCCCATGCAGGTGCAGGGCCCAAGGACCTGGGCCATCCTCCACTGCACTCCTGGGCCACAGCAGAGAGCTGGCCTGGAAGAGGGGTAACCGGGACAAAATCTGACACCCCGACCAGGACTAGAACCTGGTGTGCCGGTGCCGCAGGCAGAGGATTAGCCTATTGAGCTGCCACACCAGCCTGTTTCTGGTTTTTTTTTAAAGATTTATTTATTTATTTATTTGAAAGTCAGAGAGAGAGAAGAAGGAGAAGCAGAGAGAGAAAGAGAGGTCTTCCATCCACTGGTTCACTTCCCAATTGGCTGTCATGGCTGGAGCTGTACTGATCTGAAGCTAGGAGCCAGGAGCTTCTCCCAGGTCTCCCATATGGGTACAGGGGTCCAAGGACTTGGGCCATCTTCTACTGCTTTCCCAGGCCATAGCAGAGTGCTGGATCAGAAGTGGAGCAGCTAGGACTTGAACTGGTGGCCATAAGTGATGTTGGCACTGCAGGTGGTGGCTTTACCTGCTATGCCACAACGCTGGCCCTCAGAAATTTGTTTCTAACACATTGCTCAGATTGAGTTCCCACTCATGATTTTGCCCAGGCATAGAACTTACTCAGGACTGAATCAATAAATGTGAACTCTCTCTTTCTTAGTCTCTTTCTTTTTTTTCCTCTGTGCTTCTAAAATAAATAGAAAATTATAGTCTGTTGGAAACATTTGAGGAGTGAGCCTACAGTTGGCAAACCTCTATTTCAGTCTGTCTTTATCTCTCATTCTGTCTCTCTGACTCTCAGGTAAGTAAATAAGTAAATGCTAAAAGATGGTCATGTGGCTGGTGCTGTGGCACAGTGAATTAACACCCTAGCCTGAAGCATCAGCATCCCATAAGGACACCAGTTCAGGACCCAGTTGCTCCACTTCCGATCCAGCTCTCAGCTATGGCTTGGGAAAGCAGTAAAAGTCCTTGGACCCCTGTACCCAAGGGAGACCCAGAAGCAGCTCCTGGCTCCTGGCTTCAGATCAGCACAGTTCTGGCCATTGTGGCCAATTGGGGAGTGAACCATTGGATCAAGACCTTACTCTCTTTGCCTCTCCTCTCTCTGTGTAACTCTGACTTTCAAATAAATAAATAAATCTTTAAAAATAAAAGATGGTCATGAGTAAGCCTCTGTGCTGTGACATCAGAAATTATGAAGCTAGGAATGACACTGTGGTACAGTGTGCTAAAGCTCCAGCCTGCAACACTAGCATTGCATATGGGTGCCAGTTCAAGTCCCAGCTGGTCCCCTTCTAATCCAGCTCTCTGCTAATGCACCTGCAGAAGGAGCAGAGGTTGGCCCAAGTCTTTGGACCCCTGTACCCGTGTGGGAGATAAGAAAGACACTCCTGGCTCCTAACTTCACTTTGGCCCAGCACTGGTTGTTGTGCCCATATGGGGAGTGAACCAGCAGATGGAAGACTTCTCTCTGTCTCTCTCTCTATAATTCTAGCTTTCAAATAAAGTAAATCTTTGAAAAAAAGGAAATCCTAAACTAAGCATGAACTTATATAAAACATGAAAATAAGTGATCCTAGACTCACCAAGAAAGGAATGAGATTTTGAGACCCAAGGTCAAGTAGCCTCGTGGCGTTATGTTGAGTGGCTCAGATTTCTTTAAGGGTGGAGTTTGAAGTATGATTTCTCTCCTATTTTTCAGTATCATTGAAAAATAAACAAACAAAAAGATAAGGAAAGCATAGGAAATGAAGCTTTCAGTGAAAATAGGAGGCAACTGATCAAAAGTCTCCAGAAATTCAAATTATCACACAGGAATGCTTCTAGAAAGACTTTAGAGGAGGTAACCAGCACTGATGATTTCAGAATGAGTTAGAAAACACTTTTCAAAGAAGATGAGCACATCCCGGTTTGCAGAAATAAATTCTTCAAACTGACTGGGAGCATTTAACTAAAGTGGTATATTGGGAATTTTCTGTACCTGTTGTACTTCTGAGAAGCTGAAGGTGTTGGGTGTCCTTAGGAATTTGGGGAAGCTGTCATAGAGTAGAGACAAAGTCATTTTTCATTTGAAAAATCCCACAAATGATGTTTACCTAGGAAGACTGAGCATGAGACACTCATAGATTCAAATCCTACTCCTTAAATGTTGTCCTGCTTAAAGTACAGGCACATTTCACTCTTCTCCACCTGCAAGTAAATGATCAGTAAAACTTTTTCATGTTTATGGTTGAGATATCAGAGAAGCAAAAAGCACACAATTTTTATAAAAATAAACTGGAGAAAAAGCACAGGGAAAAAAATGGTTGCTAGGAAGTGGGTGAATATTTTTATTAAATATTTGCCCATTCTTTAAAATATTTTATAGTTATTTCATCTTTGTGAAAGGCAGAGTGATAGTGAGAGAAGAGAGAGAGAGAAAGAGGTCCTCTATTAGCTCACTTCCCAGATGCCTGCAACACTTAGGTCTAACTAGTCTGAAGCCAAAACTCAAGAATCCCTCTAGTCTTCCCTAGTTTCTCACAGGTTCCCAGGCACATGAACCATTATCTGCTTCCTTCCAGTTTACATAGGCAGAGAGCTGTACTGAAAGCAGAGTAGCCAGGGCTCAAACTGACACTGTTTTGAGATGCAGGCATCCCACACATCATAGCACAAAAGTCATTCTACCATCCTTGACAAATTTCCATAGTAAAAAGGATCATGTTTGAACATTGGGAAACCTTATGGTATATTAATGTATTAAGGAGAAAAACCATATAATGGTCACAAATAAGTACCTCATACTGATTTTGTGAACATCTTATGCCACTTGGATAACAAGTAACTTCATTCTCTTTACATGAGTATGCCAGGAGAAACAGTTACATGTGATTCAGTGACATGATTGCTTTTTTCTCATTTCAGTGGTCATGAAAAGGGATGACCTGATTAGGATCAACCAGGAAAGTCAGGACAAAAATCTGAATCAGAATTTTATGAAAAATAACAAGACATCAGCTCTCAAGAGAATTGAATTAAGAAAAACACTTAGTTTAAATTCAAGCCATGTTCCAACACTGATTATTAAAAAGGGAATCTATTCAGGATTGAAGCCTGAGGAATGCAATAAATGTCACACTGTGTATCCCCCCAGTGGGCCTGATCAACTACAGGCTGGAGAGAAATTTGATAACACTAAGATACCTGGAAAATCTCTCCAGTTCTGTGAGCCTCTTAGTCAGCTTGACAATATTCACATGATGAAGCAGACATTTGGACCCACTGGACAAGAAAAAGTCTTCACAAGAAAGATGTTCTTTAAATCTGAGAGGGTTCATATGGCAGCAAACTGTAATAAGTCAACTGTCACTTTTGGAAAAGCAACGCAAATAGAAAAAGCTATCCATGAAAATTCTAGCCTCAATATGCATCAACAAACTCACACAAGAAAGAAATTTTATAAGTACATTATGTATGTTGAACCTGTCATTCACCAGTCACATCTTGCAGTAAACCAGAGACTAAATACAAGGGAAAAACTTTACACATGTAAGCTTTATGGAAAATCACTCAGTTTTAATTCACCTTCTGAATGTAATGACTGTGGAAAAGCCTTTGGACAAAAGTCAGTCCTCAGGAAACAACAGAAAGTTCACAGAGGGGAGAAACCTCATGAATGTAGTGACTGTGGAAAAGCCTTTACACAAAAGTCATACCTCAGAAACCATCAGCGAATTCACACAGGAGAGAAACTTCATAAATGCCTTCACTGTGGAAAAGGCTTTCTGTGGAAGTCAGCCCTCCTCATACATCAGCGAATTCACACAGGGGAGAAACCTCATAAATGTAATGACTGTGGAAAAGCCTTTGGAACAAAGTCACACCTCATCATACACCAACGAATTCACACAGGGGAGAAACCTTATGAATGTAATGACTGTGGAAAAGCCTTTGGACGAAAGTCAGACCTCAGGAAACATCAGCAAATTCACACAGGAGAGAAACCTCATAAATGTAATGACTGTGGAAAAGCATTTGGACAAAAGTCACACCTCATAAACCATCAGCGAATTCACACAGGGCAGAAACCTCATAAATGTAATGACTGTGGGAAAGCCTTTGGACGAAAGTCAGGCCTCATCATCCACCAGCAAATTCACACAGGGGAGAAACCTCATAAATGCAATGACTGTGGAAGAGCCTTTGGAAAAAAGTCAAACCTCCTCATACATCAGAGAATTCACACAGGGCAGAAACCTCATAAATGTAATGACTGTGGAAAAGCCTTTGGACAAAATTCACACCTCATCATACACCAACGAATTCACACAGGGGAGAAACCTCATACATGTAATGACTGTGGAAAAGCCTTTGGACGAAAGTCAGACCTCATCATACACCAGCAAATTCACACAGGGGAGAAACCTCATAAATGTAATGACTGTGGAAGAGCCTTTGGAAAAAAATCAAACCTCCTCATACATCAGAGAATTCACACAGGGGAGAAACCTCATAAATGTAATGACTGTGGGAAAGCCTTTGGACGAAAGTCAGGCCTCATCATACACCAGCAAATTCACACAGGAGAGAAACCTCATACATGTAATGACTGTGGAAAAGCCTTTGGACACAAGTCAGAGCTCATCATCCACCAGCAAATTCACACAGGGGAGAAACCTCATACATGTAATGACTGTGGAAAAGCCTTTGGACAAAAGTCAGCCCTCCTCATACATCAGCGAATTCACACAGGAGAGAAACCTCATAAATGTAATGACTGTGGAAAAGCCTTTGGAACAAAGTCACACCTCATAAACCATCAGCGAATTCACACAGGGGAGAAACCTCATAAATGTAATGACTGTGGAAAAGCCTTTGGAACAAAGTCACACCTCATAAACCATCAGCGAATTCACACAGGGGAGAAACCTCATAAATGTAATGACTGTGGAAAAGCCTTTGGACACAAGTCAGGCCTCAGGAAACATCAGCAAATTCACACAGGAGAGAAACCTCATAAATGTAATGACTGTGGAAAAGCATTTGGACAAAAGTCACACCTCATAAACCATCAGCGAATTCACACAGGGCAGAAACCTCATAAATGTAATGACTGTGGAAAAGCCTTTGGACACAAGTCAGGCCTCAGGAAACATCAGCGAATTCACACCGGAGAGAAACCTCATAGATGTAATGACTGTGGAAAAGCCTTTGGACGAAAGTCAGACCTCATCATCCACCAGCAAATTCACACCAGAGAGAAACCTCATAAATGTAATGACTGTGGAAAAGCCTTTGGAACAAAGTCAGCCCTCCTCATACATCAGAGAATTCACACAGGGGAGAAACCTCATAAATGTAATGACTGTGGAAAAGCCTTTGGACAAAAGTCAGCCCTCCTCATACATCAGCGAATTCACACAGGGGAGAAACCTCATACATGTAATGACTGTGGAAAAGCCTTTGGACACAAGTCAGAGCTCATCATCCACCAGCAAATTCACACAGGGGAGAAACCTCATACATGTAATGACTGTGGAAAAGCCTTTGGACAAAAGTCAATCCTCATCATACACCAGCAAATTCACACAGGGCAGAAACCTCATAAATGTAATGACTGTGGAAAAGCCTTTGGACGAAAGTCAATCCTCATCATACACCAGCAAATTCACACAGGGGAGAAACCTCATAAATGTAATGACTGTGGAAAAGCCTTTGGACAAAAGTCAGCCCTCCTCATACATCAGCGAATTCACACAGGAGAGAAACCTCATAAATGTAATGACTGTGGAAAAGCCTTTGGAACAAAGTCATACCTCAGGAAACATCAGCGAATTCACACCGGAGAGAAACCTCATAAATGTAATGACTGTGGAAAAGCCTTTGGAACAAAGTCACACCTCATAAACCATCAGCGAATTCACACAGGGGAGAAACCTCATAAATGTAATGACTGTGGAAAAGCCTTTGGAACAAAGTCAAACCTCATAATACACCACCGTATTCACACAGGGGAGAAACCTCATAAATGTAATGACTGTGGAAAAGCCTTTGGACGAAAGTCAGACCTCATCATCCACCAGCAAATTCACACAGGGGAGAAACCTCATAAATGTAATGACTGTGGAAAAGCCTTTGGAACAAAGTCAGCCCTCCTCATACATCAGCGAATTCACACAGGGCAAAAACCTCATAAATGTAATGACTGTGGAAAAGCCTTTGGACGAAAGTCACACCTCATCATCCACCAGCAAATTCACACAGGGGAGAAACCTCATAAATGTAATGACTGTGGAAAAGCCTTTGGACAGAAGTCAGGCCTCAGGAAACATCAGCGAATTCACACCGGAGAGAAACCTCATAGATGTAATGACTGTGGAAAAGCCTTTGGAACAAAGTCAAACCTCATAATACATCACTGAATTCACACAGGGGAGAAACCTCATAAATGTAATGACTGTGGAAAAGCCTTTGGACGAAAGTCAGACCTCATCATCCACCAGCAAATTCACACCGGAGAGAAACCTCATAAATGTAATGACTGTGGAAAAGCCTTTGGAAAAAAGTCAGCCCTCCTCATACATCAGTGAATTCACACAGGGCAGAAACCTCATAAATGTAATGACTGTGGAAAAGCCTTTGGCCATAAGTTAGGACTCATGATACATCAGCGAATTCACACAGGGGAGAAACCTTATGAATGTAGTGACTGTGGAAAAGCCTTTGGACAAAAGACAAACCTCATATCACAGCAGAGAATTCACACAGGGTATAAAACTCATGATTGTAATAACTGTGGAGAGCAATTAGCCGTAAGTCAACCTTCATCATGCATCAGAGAATTCACACAGGGCAGAAACCTTATGAATGTAATGACTGGAAAAGCCTTTGGACAAAAGTCACACCTCATAATGCACCAGAGAATGCACACAGTATTGAAACTTCATGAGTGTAATGACTGGAAAAACTTAAGTTCCAACTCCAAATGCATCAGAGGATTCACACAGGGAAATAACCTTATAAATGTAATGACTGCAGAAAAGCCTTTTTCTATAAGTTATACTCGTATCAAAACAGTTCACACAGGGCAGAAACCTTGTGAATCTAATAAGTGTGGAAAAGCCTTTATAAATCATATGTTATAAATCATAGCTCATATCACACCACAGAATTCACACCAGGGAGAGACTTCATGAATGCAATGACTTTAGAAAAGCCCTTGGCAATAAGTCACATGTCAGAATGCATCAGAAAATGCACATGAAGAGAAACCTTTTGGACATAATGACTTGGAAAGCTTTTCCCCATAATTCAGCCCTCATTGCACATCATCTAATTCATATGGGGGAAAACACTTTGGATATAATGCATATGGAAAAGCCTTTATCCATAAGTAACACCTCATAAAACATCAGAATTCACTTGGGGGAGAAACCTTATGAATGGAATGAATGTTGGAAAACTCTGCCAAAATCACACAATATAACATCAGAGAGTTTATTACATGGTGGAAATCTTGTAATAAATGTGGGAAAGCCTTTTGTCAGAAGGAATACCTCATAACATGTAGATCAAACAAGGGAGAGAACCTAAGAATATAATGAATGTGAAGGACTTTTTGCAAAATCAACATAACCATGTGACAGAGCCTTTTGCTGCAAATTACATCCTATACAATAGGCACTCCCATAAGGAAGAAAGGTTGAGACCAGCGCTGTGGCACAGTAGGTTAAAGCCCTGGCCTGAAATGCTGGCATACCATGTGGGCACTGGTTTTAGTCCCAGTTGCTTCTCTTCTGATCCAGCTCTCTGCTATGGCCTGGGAAAGCAGTAGAAGATGGCCCTGCACCCATGTGGGAGACCCAGAAGAAGCTCCTGACTCCTGGCTTTGGATCCCTTCAGCTCCAGCCATTGCATCCATCTGGGGAGTGAATTAGCAGATGGAAGACCTCTTTCTGCTTCTCTGTCTCTAACTCTGTCTTTCAAATAAATAACGTAAATTGTTAAAAAAATGAAGACGTTCAGAAATATTATTAGTGTGACAAAAAGCCATTTGTCAGAAATGGCATTATACATCAGAAAATTCACACAAGGGGTTTCTTAGGAGTGTAATGAATGTGGAAGTATATTTTCATAGAATTCTGCCTTGCATAAATATGCAACTCAAAAAAGGTGATATCCTTCAAGTGCAATAGACCTCAAAAAACCATAGCCAGAAATTAAACATCAGGCCGGCGCTGTGGAGCAATAGGTTAATCCTCCACCTGCTATACTGGCATCCCATATGGGTGCGAGTTCTAGTCCCAGCTGCCCCTCTTCAATCCAGCTCTCTACTGTGGCCTGGGAAAGTAGTAGAAGACAGCCCAATTGCTTGGGCCTCTGCACCCACACAGAAGACCAGGAAGAAGCACCTGGCTCCTGGCTTCAGATCAGTGCAGCTCTGGCCACTGTGGCCATTTGAGGAGTGAACCAACAGAAGGAAGACTTTTATCTCTGTCTCTCTCACTGTCTGTAACTCTACCTGTCAAATAAATAAAAATCTTTAAAAAAAAAGAAATTAAACATCAACTAACACCAGAGAATTCATACAGTAAAATGTCAATTTAATGAATGTGAAAAAAATTTTCTGCCAGTAATCAATTCACATGAAGAGACTCTGAAATGAGAAAACATACATGCATAGAAAAGTCATGTACCATACGTCACCTCTCAATGGTTACCTGACAACTCACAGAAAGAAAAAATCCTATTGTGGGGAGCAACTCGGACTAGACTAAGTTACTGGAATTAAGACTTATTCTATGCATCTGCTCTCCCACAATATGGCGCTGGGAGAGGAGTAAACAACTTTTACACAGCTGCCTCCAGTTCGACCAATAACCTGCAGGAGCTGATCCTGCTCCTGATTGGAGGAGAGCAGTGTACTCGGCTTGTGGGTAGCAGAGTTGGGATTGGTGGAAGAGGACTATAAAGGAGGAGAGAGACAACATGCACTGGGAACATCCGGATAACATCTGAGCAGCCCCCAAGAGAGCTGGTCGGCGGTGTGCCACTCCCCTGCGGAAGTGGGGAAAGTGGCAGGGGGAACCGCCCCTCCACGGAGGTGGAGGGGTCGGCAGTCCACCCTGGAAGGACCAGCAGCAAACCCGGGAAGGGCCGAGCAGACAAAAGAACAGCGCAGGGTCCTGTGTTGTTCCTCCGGGAATGGGGGAGCGACATCCTATGACTGTATTGTAATGTGAAATACCTTTATTATTAGGCAAACTTCCACAAAACATAGCAAGATTACAGAGAGAAGTCCCTGAAATATAATTTGTTTGGAAGAATTCTTTGGTGGAATCACACCTTAGTGAGTATTGGGCAGTTTTCATGATGAATTGTGATAGAGAGTGGTTAACCGTTCTTCAGAAATTTTTCTCTTATTCAACCTGAACTTTTGGTTTCTCATTATTCTGAGTGTGATCAGGTATATGAACTGAACTGTGCTCTCTTGTGTAAATTTTGTTAATAAATATTTAAAAGTTGAGTAAGTTATTTCTACAGTTATTTGGAATACCATCTTCATCATTTACAAAGTTATTTGTTTTATAGCTGCTTTTTTGGCCACCCAGGATTCTTTCCCCACATTATTGTAGTGCAAACCAGTGATGTGACCATAGGCATATCAAGTGACACATGTTCCAGCCATAATAGTGTACCCTGGCTCTGGATAATAAGTGTTGTGTGCAACACAAGGGAATGAGTGTGTGGTGACCTATATACCCATGAGAAATTTCAACTTTATCTGTGTGCACATCTGGATTAGACTCCACTACCCAAGGTCTATTTGAATATGCAAGTAGATGTTGCCACACACATTACCCTCATTCTTTTAAGGGACAACCTCAAACCCTATAAGTTGCAACACTCATCTGAATTTTCCTGTATTACTGAGAGCATAATGCCTTTTTCATTCATGATGCCACTTTTCTACGCTTTTTCATCCTATTCCTAATTGCCTTGAGACAAGAACATGGAATGAAGTCTATCCATGTGGTACCCATTGCAATAGAGAAGCAGGAGCATAAATGTAGTATTAAAAAAGATTTATTTATTTGAAAGTCAGAGTTACACAGAAAGAGCAGAAGCAGAGAGAGAGAATTTTCCATCCAATGCTTCACTCCCCAATTGGCCACAATGGCCAGAACTGTGCTGATCCAAAACCAGGAGCTTCCTCCAGATCTCCCATGTAGGTGCAGGGACCCAAGCACTTGGGCCTTCCACTATTTCTCAGGCCATAGCAGAGAGCTAGATTGGAAGTGGAGCAGCCAGGTCTCAAACCAGCACCCATATGGGATGCCAGCACTTCAGGTCAGGACATTAACCTGCTGTGACACAGTGCTGGCCCCTGTAGTACACTTTCATATTAATTTAACTTATAATTTTTTATAACCTTTTTTTGTTTCATTATTCCCTGCTCCTGCAGGTGGCCCTCATTTTTATTGAAAATGTGTATTTTTATTCCTTCCAATTTACAAAGTCCTTTCTGGATTGATATAAATCTGATTTACATTCAGTTAGAGATACCCTCAGGAGGAACACTTTTCCTAGGTTGCTTGGCTATCCCATGATAACAGGGCTACAAATGCTATGATGCATCTAGCTGCAGTAGCTCTTTTATTTCCCATCTAGATAATAGCTGTGCAACTAATCCATTCCACCTCCATTACTACCCATAAGAAATAGCTCTTCATCCCTGTTTAAGTCCCCACAGCTTCTTGCAAGTGTTCATCAAATTAAATCTTATTATAAACAGATTTAATAGAAAATGAATGATGTAGCCGCTGGTAGTTTCAGTGAGGTTGAATGATTTGCTGGACTGCTGTTTTGTCTGGGTTATCTTTCATATTACTTAGAACTAATTTTTCACAATATTACTTGCCTGAGCACTTTTTCCTAGGCTCCCAGCTAAACAGGTGTTTGAAGACTAGATTTACTGTTAATTCTCACTAAGGACAGAGGTCCCACATTGAGAGCACAGATCCTTATGTGGTCCTTGGGACATAGTGAATATTATACCCACTTGATTTAGTACTCAGGCACTGGTCTCCATTGAAGAGAAGAACTCAGCTGAACAGAATATAACTCCCTTCTGATTCAAAAAAGATTTACCATGCCAAACCTGGGTGTGTCACCTTAGGCATACCCTTTCCCCTTGAAAACTGAACAGAGCTCTCTGGCCACACCCACTACAAGCCTCTAGAGATTCAGTAAAAGCAGAAAGTCCATTTATCTACAGTCATAATACAATGATAAAAACTGCCAGAAAAAAAAAAAAGATGAGTATTTCCACAAATGCCAAATGCAAGAAGCAAGAATAAGGAAAACATCATCATGCTCCCAAAACAACATGACATTTCAATACTAGGTCATGAAGATGATGAGAGAAGAAATGCAAGAAATAGAACTCAAAAATTTGGTCATAAGATTACATAGAAGTAATCAAAAGCAAATGCACAAACTACTGAAATCCATGAAGGACATGAAAGAAAATCTCTCCCATGAAGTAAAAATTATCAGGAGGAATCAAGATGAAATGAAGAATTCAACAGAACATGAAACTGAGATATTAAAAGAAATCAAAATGAAATGAAGAATTCAATACAACAAATAAATGCAGTGGAGAGCCTTAAAAATAGAATCAGTGAGGCAGAAGAGAGAATACCAGACTTAGTAGACAGTACAGGAAAGTATACAGTCAAACCAAACACAAGAACAGGAAATTAGAAATCTAAAAAAGACTGTTGGGATCTACAGGATACTATAAAAAAAAATAAGACCAACATTCTGGTTCTAGGAGTTCCTGCAGGCATGGTGAGAGAGAAAGGATTAGAAGGCATTTTTAGTGAAATACTAGCAGAAAACTTTCCGGGTTTGGAAAAAGAAGGAGACACCAAGTACAGGAAGCAAACAGAACTTTGAATAGATATGATCAGAAAACATCCTTGCCATAACACATTGTAATCAAACTGCCACAGTGAAACAAAAAGAGAAGATTCTAAAATGTGTAAGAGAGAAACATCAGATTACTCTCAGAAGATCTCCAATTAGACTCACAGCAGACTTCTCATCAGAAACCCTGCAGGCTAAGAGAAAATGGCAAAAT